TGCATAAAAATCTTTAATAAATATTGATAAAACGAAAATGTGTAAATGCCTGAAGAAATCTGATAGCTGTATACCATAGAAGACGATTTTATATACAATAACAGACTGACTCCTGCACGCTTCTATCTGATAGTGTAGAAGAACAGGAGAACCAAGCACACCACAATGACAAAAGAAACTATCACAGTATCTCGTCGCTTTCGTAGGTGAATTTTCTGCATCAGAGAGTGCACCGCTGGGTACTTCTCTGAAGAAAAAAAATGCAAAGCTATCTTAAAAAAGGAGGTTGCAGTTCAAATTTATTTGCTTCCTACTTAATAAAGCATTCATTTTTCTAGATGCATCTCGAAGACCGAACCTCTGGTTAAGCAGACTTTCCTTCGTCGCAGTTATAAGGCTAAAAATATATAACAGTAAGCTTTCTGTAATGTGCAACATATAAATAAATGCAAGTATGGACTAAGATACTGATTCAGGGAGTCAAATTTCTAGACGGAAAACAAGGTATTCTCACAAACCCATCCGCTCCTGCGAGAATGAAAGAACATCAATCTAAGAGTCCTAAAGGACAAGACTAAACGCCCTTTTACTGAGGCTAGCGTCAAACTTAAGTGAAGGAAAGAAAACTGAGCAACTCTGTAATCCCGCGCAACTGCAGGAAGACTCGCCCAAAGAATAGCAGGCAACGGTTAATATTTTTCAGTAAATGAAGTCACCGACGTAGCAGTGAAAGGCTACAAAAGTGACAAGGCTGCTGAAAGCGATGAAATCCGCCTGAGATGCTTAACGCTTTAGGCGAATAAAACATGTTGCTGTTAACAAGTGCGTTAAGCTGCAGTGACCAAGAGGAAGGCACTATTGGACTGGTGAACAGAGGTGATAGTACCCCTGTTCAAGAAAGGAAATCATACGGAACGCTATACTAATCGGGATATTAATATATTAAGCCTCTCAGGAAAAGTCAACGCAAAGGGAGATACCTCGAAATATCTAAATTCAAGACTCCAAAAAAGCAGCATCACCTCAGGACATGCAGAAGCACTTCTGACAAGGTCTTCGTTTTATGACAAGCTGTGGCAGCTCGCTCATCGGGTTTACGTGTGTTTTATAAACTTGGAGAAAGCCATGATAAGATTCCATGCAACAAACTATGGGTGTGGCCTTCGAAACTGGATGACTGAACTGAACAACTATGCCAAGTTTCGGATGCTTCTAAGAAACTGATAAATTATGAAAGATAAACGCTACTGTTTTCGAGATATACGCAACAAGATGACTTTTGGTTCATGGCTCCAGAACTTCAAAGAAACACGAATCGCTTTGATGGCCTAAGAGATGCTTAGTTCGATAGTATTCGCGTCAGAACTTAAGAAGTAAAAGCGTGAGGATTGAGGATGCCTAGAAAATTGCACAGGAAAGAAACAGAAATCTAAGATGTTATACTGAGTGAAATCGATATTTACCTGATCTGGTCGTCGAGTAAACGGCCAGAACTGCAATGAACAATGGTCAATCATAGAAGCATGCGGTCAAAGATACTGAAAGCTTACCTTCTGATGTGATCATGCTCTTTCAGGAAAAGCTCGTTGCGGCGGTTGTTCAGGCCATCGGTGCTGAGGCTGATTTTACAGTCTCTGAAATCAAGCGACTTTCGTCAGCTGCCTGTCGCGCCTCGACAACAACAGACGACTTACTCGTGGCCATCTGATGACATCAACAGCTGTTCCCGTTCTAACATCGCCTTGATGTTCGCCCGAGTTTTCGTATACTCATGGCTGTAGTCCTGAAGAATGTCCTTGTGT